CTCAAGATCGAAATGTGCCACTAATGCCATGATAATTCTAAAAGAATCCTTTGAAGAGACTGGAGAGAAGGTTTCTTTATAGTCGATACCTTCTTTTTGTGTAAATCCCTTAGCGACAAGGCGAGCTTTGAATCTTTCCACATTGCCTTTCGAATCCCTTTTAATTTTAAATATCCATTTACAACCAATGGGTTTCGCACCTTCTGGCAATGGGACAAGATCCCAAACATCATTGTCCTTCATGGATTTAATCTCCTCATTCATGGCATCGATCCACTTTTGAGAATTTAAACTTTCTATGGCTTGACGGAAGTTGATTGGATCATCTTCCATCAATCCAATGTCATCCTCATGTTCTTGGAGAAAAATAATGTAATCATCTGGCACTGCACTTCTCCTTTCTCTAGTGGATCTTCTTAATGGCACTGGTTCTTGGAGAGGAAGAGTTTGTTCTTCTATAACAGTTTGTTCTTCGACATTGTCTTGATTTGTTATGTCATGATCTTGTTCAGGAATATGGTCCAAAACAAGATCAATGACATCTGTGGGAATATTAATGTATTCCTCTTTAAAGACAATGTCCCTTACTGTATTTTCTCCTCCAAACTCGACATCCTCAAAGAACCGAGCATTTCCTGTCTCAAAAAATTGATTTGGCTGTGGGATCATAAAACTTGTAACCTCTGGATCTTTCAGAGTATCCAACAAAATAACAACTAATCGTTCTTGAGTCCAGTTTCTTTTCATTAGGCCTGTAAGGCCTTGCCTCAGCTGGACACCCCCAAACATGCATATGCTTTAAACTGGGCTTTTTTCCTGTCCAAAGCTCATAAGGGGTTTTGATAGTTGCTTTAGTTGGAACTCTATTAAGGATATATGCTGCAGTCTTAAGTGCTTTACCCCAGAGTGACTCTGGTAAGGTAGAATGACATATCATACTACTTACCATATCCTTAAGCGTTCTATTTCGTCTTTCAGCTACACCATTCATAGTGGGTGAACCCGGCATAGTGTACTGTGGAACGATACCGTATTCCTCTAGGTATTTAGCAAATGGTCCTGAATGTTGTTCACCTGAACCGTCATATCTACCATAGTACTCACCACCACGGTCAGATCTGACGCTTTTAAGTCTTTTGTTGAGTTGATTCTCAACTTCAGCTTTAAAATTTTTGAACACGTCCAGTGACTGTGACTTTTCAGAAATGAGATATATGTAGCCATATCTTGAAAAATCATCTATGAACGTTATAAAATATTGTTGACCATTCCATGCAGATGTAGGAAATGATCCACAAATATCTGTATGTATAAGTTCTAAGACGTCTGAGGACCTATTGGCTTCAAATCTCCTTTGATTGGTTTGTTTCCCTTTTATACAGTTAATGCAATCATCAAAATCTGTAAAATTCAAGGGGCCGAGAATTTCATTTGACACAAGCCTTTCCATTCTCCGTTTGGAGATATGTCCCAATCTCTTGTGCCATAATGCAGCTGAATTCTCATTGGCTAATTTTCTTTTAACTCCTCTAGTACTCAAATGCAGAGATTCATTAAATGAGGTAATTGTGTCAATTAAATATAGATTATCGTAGTGCATTAAAGAACCAGAACCAACCAATTTTGAATCATGAAACAATTCAAATTTTCCATTTCCAAATGAACAAAAATAACCAAATTTGTCCAAAGCAGAAATAGAAATTAAATTCCGTCTAAAAGACGGTACAACAAATGTCTCATTGAGATCCAAATAAAATCCGGTCTTTAACAATAATCTAAAAACTCCAATTGCCTCAACTTGAACTGTTTTGCCATCGCCCACGTAGATATATCTTTCACTATCATTAGGCTTTCGGCAATTCAGGCAACCCTGCATAGACACACTGATGTGAGTTGTTGCACCAGAATCTAACCACCATGTGTGTCTAGGTACCGAAGTTAAATTAACCTCAGAACAAACCAAATTACTATATTTCATTGAAACAAGGCGTGTCAAGAGTGTACTAACTTCAGCCTTTTCGTTCTTGACAAACCTTTTTTCAATGTCCTGAAGGAACTCTTTAGTGGTTACAGTCGTTTCTGACATTGTTCCCCTGAATGCTTCTGGAACGGCCTTTTTAATGATCATCAGACACAAGCGATTTGATCTCTCCCACCTCTCATTATTTCTCTTTTCATCAGAGGTACTCTGATCTGTAAGAGGTGGGGGTGAATCATTCCTTAACGCAAGGTCGAGATTCATTACTCCAAGTACTATCAAGAGATTTTCTTTCCAGGACTTGAAATTTGTGCCATTCAGCATAGGAATATTATTGATATTGGAAGTAATATTTGTAAGATCATTCGCAACTGAACAGAAAACATAACATAATTAAAACAAGCTCACATAAATCAAAACAATAATAAATTCAAATAATGGCAGTCCCATCTCAAGATACCGATATTCCATTAATATTTCGTCTTTGGACAAAAATATTAACTTCTGAGTGATATCTTGGTGCAGTAATAAACACTGACAATAATAACATGTCAAAAAATAAATTTTCCTTTGGGCTAATTTATAATTCACATGTAAAAGCCGAATAATTATCACATGTTTATTACCACAAGTGCACATGTAATTTCATTAAATATTGACCTTCCTTTGGGCCGATCAATATTCATAAAATTACTAGTACCCAACCAGTTATATTTTAAAATAAATTAATTTCCATAATAGAAGTCACTTTGGTGGCATATTATTTCCACTAATTTATTCCAAAAAAAATATATAAGCATACCAATATTCAAATTTAAAATTATCCAAAATAAATAAAAATTTGAATCAAAGTCAACTTTGGTCAACTTTGATCAAAACATGGTCAAATATGGTGAAATCAATTAAATTGAATCATGAGTTATTGGACCAAAGGTCCATATCCATAATTTGACCCAAAATTATCATTCAAGCCCAAAAATTTCTTGAAATCCATAAGTACTTTATAAAAATTACACATTTAATGGGCCATACATATGGATTTTATAGGGCTTAAATGTCCTATTTAACTTTATTAGGGTTTACTTAAATTGAAGAAAACCCTAATTTCCTTAACATACAAATATATATGGAAATCTATTCTTAAACAAGGAATCAAGCCAAACAAAACAAAAATAACAACCAAAGTCCAAATATAATCTTCAAAACTCAAAAGTCAAAGTACGGGACAACAACTGTGAACTAAAAATTGTTAACATGAAATAAAATTAACTTGTTCATAATGGGGGAAGAAAGGACAAAAGACTTCCCGTGGCCAGAAGACAAATTAGCTTACATCATCACTTGATTCATGTTTTAAGTAAACAATTTCAAACAAAACCGAATGCTTGAAGTGCAGAAGTAAACAATCGTTCAGCAAATATTGCATAAAGAACCAATAGATCGGCCGAAAGAATGGAAAAGTACAATTCACGAATTAATCACTGCCATGAAGTTATGCAAACAATCATGACCAGAATTAGTATTTGACTAACATACCAAGAAAACTTAATGCGGTCACGTGCACAGACCAGAGCCACAGATTGTCAAGGAAATTGTACATAACATAAATTCCAGCAGGCAACCAGGTTTCATATGGACTCGGGGCAGGGACAAATTTCCTCTTCATCAACAGCGCGTAATTTCTTTTGTTCACCGTGTAATTTTTTTTCCACAGGTTGTATTTTCACAACAGATAGTGGTGGGTCCCACACTTGGCGCGGAAATCGAGTTACCACTTGTTATCTGAGCCGCACATTTTTTTGAGGTCCAATCTGGACCATGAACCGTGCAGGGACGGTCATACTGATGACCGTCCCTGCCCCAAATCCGGTTTCATATATCTATGGGGCCCATCATATATAATATATACTGTACCTTAAGGAACAAAAGAGTACGGTTACTTGTATAGTCTATAAGCCTTATGTTTTACGATTTATGAAACCTGCAGCTTTGGTCAACCGAAGACAACATACAACCAGTCAATCATTACTGCAACTTAATTGTAATTGACCGAATTGTTCATTGAATTACTAGGAGTGCGCATGACACAAAAGCAACGAAAAGATAAATTGCAACAACACATATTTCCGTGAAGGCCGAAACATGACTGGATTCATATCTATATACATAAATTACTGAAACTGAATTATTTCCCAATAATCAACCATATGGGCTCTGATACCACTTGTTAGGGTGGTTATCTAAATTTAACCACTGGTGAAAACCATCACCTATTTTCCTTCTTTCTTTTAAGTCCCTTACTTTTATTATTAGTGGTTGACACCAGATGGGCACTTTCTGTCTGCTCTTGCTTCAACCTTTCCTCTTCCTCTACACAGTGTGAGATGAGTTCATTTAGAGACCAAGTCTCCTTTTGACAGTTGTAACTCACCTTAAACTGGCTAAACTGTGTAGGAAGAGATATTAAAATCAAATGCACTAGTAACTCTTCAGAGAGTTTCAATTTAAGTGCATTTAATTTCGAAGCAAGATGAGACATCTCCATGATGTACTCTCTCAAAGGATCGGTGCATTTCAATTTAAGTGCATTTAAACTAAAGGCCTCTCTCAAAGGATCGGTGAATACCTGTTGACCTGGAAGGCCACCCCAAATCTCTAGGGATTCAAGTATCAAGTTTATCAATATGGATTTAGGTACGCTTCCGCAATTTTCTTGTTAATTTATTTCTTAATAATCACCATATAGATCTTGGGTTCAATAGGTGATGGTTTTCACCAATGGTTAAATTTAGATAACCACCCTAACAAGTGGTATCAGAGCCCATATGGTTGATTATTAGGAAATAATTTGGATTTAGTTATTTATAGTAAATTTGTACGGCTGATTTAGTGATTTGCAAGCCTTGGTTGCTGATGGTTGATACTTGAATCCCTAGAGATTTGGGGTGGCCTTCCAGGTCAACAGGTATTCACCGATCCTTTGAGAGAGGCCTTTAGTTTCTCTCTGGTATCTTTCCTGACGATGGGATATCAGGGAAGGGTATTTTGTGGTATTACAAAATACGACAACTAAAACGATGCCTGTGACCTGGGGACCATAACCCTATTTATAGGTAACATTCCTGTTACCTTTGGAGCCGTATTTCAGCCCATCATTGAAATAGGAGCCCATAAGTTTCTACACATAAAAGGGCCCACATCCTATTAGATACATTAAACCCAAACTATATTTGATCACTTTAATTGGGTTTAACCTTAATTGACAGTTTGCAATACATAATTATTCACATATAAGTCCAATGTTGGATTAAGGATCCAACAGCAAAAACTTCCTGTCATCAACTTCGGCAAGGAGAATTTGCAGCATGCCACAAAAGGCTGGTCCTTGGCACGCAACGAAGTCCTCCACGCTCTTGAAGAGTGCGGTTGCTTTCTTGCAGTGTATGATGCAGTTTCTTTCAAGTTGAGGGATTCAGTATTTTCTGCGCTAGAAAAACTGTTCGATCTTCCCTTGGAAACAAAAAAGAAGAACACTTCTGATAGGGATTTATTTGGTTATTTTGGCATTGACGGTGACTCATCTAATCATGAGAGCATGGGAATCGAAAATTCAACCGACATAGAAGAAGTCAAGAAATTCTCTAAGCTCGTGTGGCCCCAAGGAAATGATGACAATTTCAGGTACAACTTGATTTATTTATCCTCATCTTATCAATTCTTACTAGTAAATCCAACGATTAATTAGCTCGCAATGTACTGAAATGATCCCAAGTGAATTGAATCTTCAATTTGTTTTCTTTTATGAATAATTGTTAGTGGGATTATCCATGAATGTGCAAATCTGATGTCGGAGTTGGAAGAAGTGGTGATTAGAATGGTTTACGAAAGCTATGGGGTAGAGAAGCTGAAGTGTGATTCTCACCTAGATTCAAACATGCACTTGCTTCGGTTCAACAGATATATATCGCATGGAGTTGACGAGAAAACCGTGAGTTCTAATGCTCATACTGATAAGACCTTCATCACAATTCTTACTGAGAGTCGAGAAAATGGATTGGAGGTAAAATTGAAGGATGGGCAATGGATCCCTGTTGATTTCTTGCCTTCATCATTTGTTGTTATGGCAGGAGAAGCAGCAATGGTAGGTTATATATATCCTCTTACTTTATTAAATTTAATAGCTAAAAGTAGAAATTTTGTCAATAAAAATCCACTCGCGTGACTTTTAAGGCATCAGCAGTGTTCATGGGTTCTTATCAATTTCAACGACTAGTGGTAAGTGGTAAAGGGTTTCATATGAATTTATACCACTTGAAAGATCGATAGTATTAGTAATTGAACCAAATTAGCATGCATGTATTAAGCGTGCAAAGTGTTTAAAGTAAAATTTCAGCTCACGATGTAAATTTAAGGGTCAAGAGTCTACTTGTTATACGGTGGGAGCAAATGCTCATAATAGGAAAAGAAAATGCTTACAATAGGCTTTGAATCTGTTTGGAATTACAGTTTGTGCTCCCACTGAGTTCTGAAACAATTCTTAGCATCATGGCTGTTATAGCAATTTGGTCAAAAAAATAAATAAATGAAAAAAATCAACTATGGAGCAATTCTAACATCATTATTAAGTTGCAAATTGACTTTATTTGGCCCACAACATTTTTTACCGATCATTTGAGTAACTTATTTAGAAGTATTTGCTTAGAGGGATTTTTTTGGGTTAATTATTGCCCCAACTGAAAAATATTTTTAGCTCATTGTCTAAAACAAGGTGAATATTTTTGGGTTGGGAGCAAAATTAAATAAATTGAAGAAACATAAAAAATGCAAGGTGAAATCGTTCTTATTATAATAAACAAAACAGTTGCACACCACAAGAAAGAGGAAAAATAAAACAAGAATAAGAATGCGATCGCATGTGACGTGAACATGTATATCAATGACCTCATTGTAGTAGCGACAATTGTTCTCTAGTAGAAGAACTTTTATATTTGTTTTCTAAAATAATTTTGATATAGTTATTCTTTTTTGTCCTCTATATTTTTTAATAAACGATATTTTTTGTCCTCTAGAAAGCGTCTTTATTTTTTAAAACAAAAATCTAGACAATCAAGCCTTTTTTTTGCAGGCATGGAGCAACAACACAATACAACCTTGTTTTCATCGAGTTTTAACGAACGCGAATGCAAAAAGATTGTCATTGGGGTTGTTCTCTTTCAATAAGGGGGTCATACACATCCCTCAGGAGTTGATTGATGATGAACATCCACAGCGCTTTAAGTCATTTGATAACCTGGGGTTGCTCGATTTCTTTCTCGAAGAACAGCGAATGGGCCTGCCAACTGATTCTACCACCAAGAAATATTGTGGTCTTTGACTTTTGAAATCTCTCTTAAAATTTCACACCCGCGCGCGCACACACATATATATAAATATATACACCAGTAAGATGGCCTGCACTATGCGCAGGGGGACTAATATTTCCGTGTTAATCGTGTTTTATTGTGTGGGTTTATTAGTATAAATCTCTGTTATTATCTAATGCATGCACATCATTAGGGAATTATCATTTTATTAAAGGTTAACAATTATGAAATATATAGAATGCATGAGGACAATAATATATAGATTGCATGAGAGCGCTTACATAGAATGCTTAAGGGCAATGTTATTTTGCATTTGGATCAGGATAATTAGAAATTATAGAGTAAATGATTCCCAAAAGAGTATTAATCATGGTTGACACAAAAAAGAAGGGACCCTGCAAGCCAATTAAGCACTTAAACCATAGAATTAACTTGACATTGCTAAAAATTAATCACCACTAATTAAGCACGTAACCAAACAAACCCAAATTAAACGACGTGTCAATCTGATCAAAGCAATCAACTTTTTTATCCCAATCTCCGACAATTTATTTTCACATTCAAATGAGAACCCAAAAAAAATTCCATTATAAAAGAAACGAAATTAAATTACTCTAAACTGAAAAAAAACCAATAATAATTCGCTGAAAATTAAGAAAGTGACCAGCCCTACTCAGCTACTCATATGCATAATAGGAAAAGTAAACTTTATTTTATTTATATACAAATATACTAGAAATTTAAAATAGAAAATGAGGCAGTATTATTGTGAAGGGAAAAGGTCCCAATGGCCATCCAACTTTTGGCCGCGTAAAGTTTTAGCCCTTTAATAATTATGAGAAAACTTTTGGCCCTTGATCTAGTAAAAGTACAAATTCTTGACCTTTCTGTCAATTTCAATAGTTATGAGTGACGGAGAATCATCATGTGCGACGCACAAGAAAATAACAAGGCATTCTTGTCCATGCGAGAGTATTAATCAAGTAAAAATTTGCTTGCTTCTTCTCCTATCCACCTTCAATCCCTAGGGATTTGGGAAAGAGTGAATGGCCCAAAAGGTCACTAAACTATTAAAAATGGCATCCTTTGATCACCAAACTTTTTTTATGGCCGAAAAGATCACTAACTCGCAAAAATTTTTCAGCGGAGTCATTTTACCGAATTTCAGCGGTTTCTCATCCGGTTACAAGGGTCTTGAATTGAATAAATATTCTGATATGGGCAAAAATGTCCAAAAGATTATTGGGGCAAGTGAACTCACAGACTGTTTCGTTCCCAAAGTTGACCAATCAACCGACATTCACTTCATCTTCTCCGGTGAAGTTTACTGGCTGTGAACACTTCACTTTCCAATTTGACCCAGTGCAGAAGTTTACTAGCTGTGACCGAGATTCACTCTCCTCTCTGTCTCGTCACTTCCGACTAGGGGTGGCAATTCGGGTCCAAATCAGGTTGGCGGGTCGGGTTCGGGTCAACCCGCCAGAAAATCTGTTGACCCGAACCCGACCCGCCAACCCGTGACGGGTCAGGTATGCTGACCCGAACCCGAAAATTTAAGGTTGACGGGTTGGCGGGTCGACCCGAAATGACCCGAAACTTAATTTTAATTTATTAATTTATCACTGTAATTTCTAATAAAATCAATTTCTCACAAAACTAATTACATAATCAAGTAATAAAAATTTAAATAAATAATTCCAAACCAAATCTAAAATAAATTAAACACCGTAAAAGTGTTTTATCCCAAACAAAATATAAAATAAATTAAAACAGTATAAAAGTAAAAAATAATATAATATATTATTTGTCCAAATATAATAATTTCAACTTCACACAAATTAAATAAATTCATTTAGGATTAAGTAATTAATGCCTTTGAAAAAAAGAATAACTTAGTTTAGTTAGATAAAATTATTTTTATGTTTATTAAATTATTTTTAATTCGTAAACGGGTCATATCGGGTCATATCAGGTCACCACGGGTTGACCCGAAATCGACCTGTTTTCTTTTCGGGTTCATCGGGTCCAACCCGATTCTGACCCGAATTCCCGAAACCTCAACCCAAACCCATTAATTTCGTGTTAGGTTCGTGTCGTGTTTTCAGGTCGTGTCGAAAATTGCCACCCCTACTTCCGACCTCCCCACTCTCCCTATCCGTCCCACCACTAACCCCAACCCCACATCTAACTCCGACGACGATGACCCCTTTGAGCCCACAAGTTTCATCACTGCTTTCTCAACGTGGTCTTTCGAGCCATACCCATTATTTGCTTAGTCTTCGATTTCCTTCGCCGGCCACCTAGCTGAGCTGGAAAGAGTCTTGGTAGTTCTAATGACTACACCCGGCCAAAAAAAAAAAAAAGAAAGAAGAGTGACTCCACTACATATATATTTACCCAGAAAAATGTTTTTTTCTTTTACAGAAAAAGAAAAGAAAAGAATGATACTTTTTTTTTTGTATTTCCGCAGCCGTGTGCTCTCACCCGTCACCAGTGGGCTGCCGAGGGCAGTCGTTGAAGGGAGTGCTATGCTATCCCATTCTTCTCAGAGAAAAGAAAATGAATAAATCCTAAAAGGTAAAGGCAAAAGAAGAATCTCAGGGCCTTACCTCTCTCTCTGATTTGTGTGCGTACCAGTTTCTACTCAATGGTAGGGGGAGGAGGGAGTGCAGAACAACAATTATTCACACCACCACCATTCCCCATCCCCATCCCCTTCTCTTCAAGTCAGCGATAATACTCTATAATTATTGCCACTGCCTTTAATCATTCCCCCTTTCTCATTTTAAATTACAGTCTCTATTTTTATTGCCGGAGAAGACGAAGTCAATCTAGGGGTTCAAAAGTGGTTTGGGAACGAGACAATCTATGGCTTCACCTGTTTCAATAATCTTTTGGATATTTTTGCCCTTGACTATATTCCTCCATTCCACGTTGCCCATGCCACCGGATGAGAAACCGTTGAAATTCGATAAAATGACTATGCTGGAGAGTTTTTGCTAGTTTAGTGACCTTTTTGGCCACAAAAAAAGTTTAGTGATCAAAGGATGCCATTTTTATTAGTTTAGTGATCTTTTGGGCCATTCACTCTTTGGGAAACGCTATGATTGCATAATTCAATTTGGGACTTTTCAGTTTAAGAATAGTACAAAACAGACAAATTCCTATTGGCACGAGAAAGAGATCATAGTAATGGTTTTCTATCCCACTGAGGTACCTTGTTCTAACATAAAAGAACAAAAATTCTTCTTCGAAAGCAAAAAGAAACAACACATTGAGGATCGCTAAAGGAAATTGAAACAAACTCTTGACATGCACAAACAAATCCAAAGTTGAGTTGAGGAAAAAAAGGAGAGTGATTACTGTTACAATCTGATTGGAAGACAAAACTAATGTGGTCTTTGGAGTTGAGGGCGTTGGAGATGGAGATGAGAGAGTTTAGAATGAAGAGAAAAGAAAGGAAAGAGATTGATAAGCATGTTACTGATGATAAGGAGGCAGAACCTTTTTCATTTGAGTGCTGTTGTTGTTAATAGCTGAAACGGTGTGGTGTGCGGGCTGCTAAGGAGAGGAGATGGTGGGGTATTTTGGACACATTCAGAGGAAGATACAAATGATTTCCAAGACCGATCAAGATGGAACAGCCCCCTGCTATGGTGTAGGTGAAAAGTCCAATTCTTGTTTCTTGATTTCTGCTCTTTGGTTTACTTTTCTTCCCTTTCCCTTATTAAGAAATGAACTATGATTGTGTGGTTTGAGTTTTTGGGAAATTTCCTCTATTGCAACTAGGGATTGAAGCAGCTGCTTTTGGACGGGAGAAGCAGTGGCTTTTGGACAAGAATGCCATTGCAATTTCCTGGTGCATCGCATGTGATGCTATTTTCATTTGCTCATAACTGGTAAAATTAACAGAAGGGCGAAAAAATTGTACTTTTAATAAATTGGGAGTTAAAAATTTTCTCATAATTGTTGGAGGGTTAAAACTTTGCATGGCTAAAAGTTTTAGGGCCACTGAGACTTTTTTTCCCTATTGTAAATGGCTGACTAAAATGGAGATTGGAGGAATAAAATGTGCAAGAGTGATAAAGAATAAGAGGCACGAAGACAATGGAGGACAGTAAATAGGACAAAATTGAACAAAAAAAGGGATTACAAATTTATACATATCTTCAAACAAATACATTTGAAAAAAATATTTATAATTAAACATAAGTTCCATGATTATAGACATACTGAGTTCAAGCATGAAAGAGAATTTAATCCTCTTGACACTCATTAAAGTCTATTCAAACACGTTGAATGCAAATCCTACATAGCTAGATTTTTTTTTTTGGTGGAGAATTGGTGAGCTTTATATAAACAAAATATAAGAATTTACATTGCAACAGTTAACTTTCCCCTCCTATCCTCCTCTACAATTTAGAAGATGCCGAAAAGGAAGAGGAGATTGGAGTTTGAATCAAAAATAACTTTATCTATCTTATTGAGATAAACAAAAGGAGTAGCCTAGATGACAAACAAGATGAGGAAAGAGAGAAGAGAGAAGTCATAATAAATTCAGAGTCAAAAACTTGTGGCTGGTTGGCTACAGGAAGGAGTTCCAAACCACTAAAATGGAAAAAGTGGAATGACAAAAGGAGGGTAGAAAATTGGTTATAATTGTATTATAACTGGCCATTTGGATAATTGTTAAGGCACATAATACCCTAAAATTACAATAAAACCAGTAGGAGAGGACAAAAAGGACAATAGGAGGATAAAAACTGAAGGAAACACATCTATCCACGGAGAAGAAGCAGCAGCTAGAACCGAATGAAACGGCCCAATTGACAAAAAAAAGGGGCCAACCATTTAGCAAGAATTACGGGATAATTGCTTGACAAAAAAAATACTATTCATAGGGCAACTCTACTTTTTATATTATCATATATTGTTATATATATACACACATACACACACACACCCACCCATACATACATACATACTAGGTTTGTATCCCGCACATCGAGTG